TTATATTAATTGAACTTCCATCTGCATGATTCCCTTGCAAATGTGTCACCCAACTGTGACAAACGTTTTTTGTTGATTGCACAGATCTTCAACGGCAAAAACGGGGACCGAAGCGATGCTCCTGATGTTTTGATATTGTTTACGGACGGGATAGCGACAGATACGGCTTTGGTTGATCAGTTTGAGGAGGCAAAGAAGTTAAAGGACGCTGGTGTGAAAATTATCACCGTCGCTATGGGAGGCCAGGATTTTATTGACAAATATCGGGAAAACCTTCGAAGGTTGGCAAGTGTTGATGAGAGTACTGACCAAGTACTGCAGTTCGAAGCTGATTTTGAAAATTTGAATAAAATCACAAGTAAACTTGTCCAAGGCGCCTGCTAGAAGCTGTGTTATATACCAACTCACCCACAGCATAGTGAAAATGTGCCATAATATAATAAGCGTTCATTTTTGTTACCTCTGAATGGAGAACATCCTAACAATTAATATACTTAATACTTATTGCACTGTTGGAAGCCCGGGTTAACGGACCGAAAGACCTGCATAATTATAACTAACAAATACATGCACGTAGTGTTTTCTACAAATTGATGATTTAAGTTAATCGTTACATTTTTTTCTGAATAAATGCAGTATCTATAGTTGATGCACACGCTTTGGTGTTCAAAATTTGCGCGCTTTTCCGAGCTTCATATTATTGCAAAGAAGGAACATAAGTGATTATTACGTTGTCAATGCATGTAAGACTAAAGGCTGCTTTCCACTTAGGCGTTTTTATACGCACGTACACGTACGGAAAATTTTAAATGCTTTTAGATTTTTATTATTTAACATCTAGGTCAACTAATGCATACTAGAATAAGCAGGACACTAAGTCCCTCCGATTTATTCACTTTTTTTTTCAAAGGTAACTTGTATAAGGATTTCGACTTTGACGTGCGTGTACCTGCGTATATGAAAAACGCGCGTAAGTGGAAAACAGCCTTAACCCTACATGCACACGCCGGTTACGTTTTCGAGCGTTTTCACATTTGTTTTCATACCTGAAAACGGTTTCAAACACCGGCAATTTACAATAGAAGTTGAAGCTGATTTAACAAGTCAGTCGTGCATGTGCACAAAGCTTAAGGGCTGCTCTCCACTGTCGCGGTTTTGCATACGCACGTACACGACCGTAAAAGTCTAAACCCTTATATGTCATATTTGACAAGCTAGCTGAATAATCAAAAGAGAGCATTCGTTGACCCTTCATTAAATAATACTAATTTGGAAGCATTTAAAGTTCTTCGCGCCTAAAAGAACGCGATAGTGGAAAGGGCTATAGCCTACGTATGCATTAGAGTGAACAGTTCCACTACTGCACGATTCTCTGCGATAACGTCCATTTGAGGCTCCATGCATAGATAGGGTCATTGGCATGATTTATGTCGTAGTTTGTTGTGATTCCCGTTGCTAAGCATATGCCAGCAGACATGAATTACTACGAATTAGATTACCAGGAAGTGATGACGAGTATGACGTATTTAACAAGCAATATTAATACGGCACATATAAACGACGGCTTATTGATAAAACTTGATTTGGCGGTTCCGCTGAGGTGATTCAAATCAAATAAGGTAACCAGGAAGGTAAGCTTGGTAAGCTCTTGTTATGTTCTTTGATGGGTTAATGATGGCGTACGCTGTCTGTGGCTTTATAAATTATATGCTCGTTCACGTTGTATGTTGACTAACCATGTAATGGACGACTTGCGCTTTAGACTAACTTTTGATAGAAGTAACTAGAGGAAAATAAATCACCCCAGCTAGAAAGATCTTACTTAAATTAGTAAAACTGCCAGTTTGGCTGCGAAATTTTGTGAAATACGGAAAATATAGCCATGCGAAGTTGGCAAATTTGGTATACTTTTGTATCACGTGCGGAAATGTGTATTAAACTAATTTAGTTGCAAACTTCCGGTCGTATACAAAAATCGACAACTTCGCATGGGTATATTTTCCGTATTTTACAACAATTCGCAGTGAAACTTGGCAGTTTTACTTATTTTAGTAAGCTCTTTCAGAAAATGTCTTTTTTATCGCCAAGGTAGGAAATTATAGCAAAGCGCAAGTCGTCCATTAAGTGTTTTGAAATAACAACCGAAAGCGCTTGAGATCATATTTCATAAGCCAAGTGCGCTTGAAAAATAGTTGATGAACTTGTTATTAGATGTTCCGAAACATGAGATATGCTTTTGCAGCAGACAAAGATAAAATTTGATTGTGTATACTGTATACATGTTATAACTTATAACATGAACTTTCAGCGGATATAGAAAAGAATTGTCAGTTTATTCCTTTATATCATATGTGGTTTAGCAGAAACAAATAATAATTTAGGAGAGAAGATTGTTATTCTATAACTTTGCCGATTTAAAAGTACATTCCCCAGTTTTGATAATATTTCAATTTATAGCGACTGCTTAGTCGAGTTTCATTTCAAACTTCTGGCGAATCCAATTCCAAGAAAGAATAAGAACACACATGCAAATGGCCGGTTTTCTTAGAAATCCCTTTAAGTTTAACTGTTAGTCTTAAATTTCAAACTAATATATACATAGCTATATTGGAATATGGGACTATATATAAATATGATTTCGAAAAAATGTTATAATTTATCGTTTGTGAATCGTGATTATAAGCCTTCAAAAGGCTTCATTTATATAGTTACCAAAAATATGAACTTTAGTGTACAGCGACCGATTCTGTAAATCCGGCTTTCGTTATAATAATTTATAGGTACTGTAGCTTATTTTCACTTTCACTCCATTTAGTTCAACATGTCTGATATTTCGCATGAGAAATTCGCTGAACCGATGCTCGAAGGCGAGCAATTTCTCCAGGGATATATTGACACGCTAAAAGAATTGCTAAGAGATGGCACAATCCCCGACTTGAAAGAGAAAAATGAATTTCAAGTCTATTCCATAAAAGGAAGTGGATTTGGTTCTCATAAATCCATCGTGTTATCACCTGACGGAAAGCGCTTCTTTTCTGTCGAGCTTGGCTTCATAACAGTTGATGGCGAAAAGCGAATTTATCCGGTGACAAGGAAAATACCATCAGATATCAAAGATAAGCTTGTTCCTCTCGGTAAAATCGAGGCAACTTCTGGTGACCTCATATCAAAGGCTGTCGCAATCATGAAGAAATTTGGCTCGTATTTCAAGTGGACCAACAACTGCCACGACTACTGCAACCTCTACTTGGAGGAAATTGGTCTCAAAAAGGCCCAAACCCTGACTGATGGAGACAAGGGGAGTAGTATACAGAGTGGCGGTTCTGGAGCGGGTGGTGCGGGTGGTGCACTTAGCACCACACATGACGTCATCGATTCCTAAATGTTTTAATTTATTCCGGCATTTTAATATATTTGAGCTTTGCCGTTCATTGCTATAGCAATTTTTCAGGGTATTTTACTACCATTTCTTTATTTACATGACTACATCGTTTAGTAATGTCTGGTTACTTAGTTATATTAAACGGTAGGCAATTTCCCGCCGTATGTTGTTCTTATCGTCGTTCGTATGCCTGTAGTGATTTAGCGGTCGTTTGTTTACATACGGCCGCGTTTTATTTCTAACTGCTCCTCTACCGCTTATACCGTCTGCTTATCTGCAATCGATGTTTTATAGATTTATATTTGCTTATATTCTGTTTAGAGTCCTTAGTTTAGAGTCCTTATATTCTGTTTAGAGATCTCATGCAGTTACATTAATTAATCATAATTTAACGCTCTGCCAGTTTTTACACAATGATTGTGCAATAATTTATTATTCATATAAGTACGCGCGGGGGCGAGGAATGGGGTAAACAATGAAGCCTAATAGCGTAAATACGCAGGATATGTTTGTTTGACAGCAATTTACTTAAATTACACAAATGCCGGTTTACTTATCACACAACTGAGAATTTGCGAAGAGTATATTTTATTTCACTACGATTACACATTTGTATGTCAATATTTAGTACCATTAGACTAATGTTCATTTTAAACAATTGTTATTTCGTTTTCTATGTATGCTTTGTGATACAGTTCAGCTCATACGTTAACCCTGATTTAATTGTCCTCATATATCATAATGTCAATATGCCGTTGACATACGAATCATTTCCATACATCAATTTTCGTGTTATCGAGTTACTCAAAGTGTACTTGCGTGGAATATGAGGTGGAATATCGGTTACAAATTTTGTGCGATGAGCAGATGTGTACCTGCTCGTAACTGCTCCTCTGCTCAATGAGATATTTCATACCCACTTGAAATTTTTGTTGATAAAATGAAAATTTACATATGAACTAGCGGCCGGAAAGAAAATTTCAGACATGGTTTAACGATTTTAACATTTATTTGTCTTGCAATTAGTTACAGCAATAAATAATAATTTTCCCTAAAACGTTTTCTAATTTTTTTTTTCGCTCGTTTGCCATATATGGTTTCCTTAAGAAAGGTTAGGTAAACCTTTGCTATTGGATTAAATTTAAAGTCTAATTATCATCATCGTCATAATCTTCACTGTCTTTATTTTCCTCGTCATCTTTAATCTCGTGGTCGCTTAAAAGCCTTTTAATAAGAAACTTTCTCTTATCAACTGCAGCTTCTATTGCTTCTTCTGGGTCAAAATCATCATTTTGAATAAACGATTCCTTTGTGTGCATTATTTTCCTATGTACTAGATCTTTCTTTAGTTGTCTTATCCACAAAAGGCGCTCTAAATAGATATTTTCTAATTCTTTCTGGAGTCTAGGCATAATATTCAAGTAGGCTTTTTCTTTAGCAGATTGCTCGTCGAAACCTTTGTCGCTTGTGAGGCGTTCTTTCATTTCCTCGAAAGCTGTGTTACTTCTTTGTTTTGCTTCTTCTATTAGTGGTATCCAGGGATCCATTTCTTCTCCAGATTCTGAGTCAGTCGTCGTCGAACCTCCTGACTGCTGAGTAGAAGTTGTTGAGACATCGTCACGGAAATCTCTTTCTTGACTGTCCGAGTCTGTGGCAAGAGTGTCTTGTTTCATCAAAAACCAAAAAAAAAAAACCTGATTGTTGGGCTACCTATGCAAGAATAGACAAGAGTGAGCACGTTTAATAAGTATCTATCTCAAAGGATAATGCGCATGCGTATTACGTGTTTTGTTATGTCCCACAATCAAACGGTAAACGTTTTGTATTTATATTTCGTGGTTCGTGCAGAAACTGATCAACTGATAACTTTAAATTTTCATCCGCTGCGAAACGAAATCGTTTGTGTCATATCAGTAAATTCAGTTCTGTAAGGAATTGGTATATTATCGACGGTTAACCGAAGAGGCTTAGGTAAGACGTCAATTAAATTTATCACTTCCAAATTCCAAGTAGTTGCTGTGCCCTTGTTGGCTGCACCAATGAAGAAAGAATCTGAGGTGCCCCTTGGGAAATGTCTAGCAACGAACGGGTTCAATTGTTTATTTATGTGCGAAGACTTCTTAGTAGTTGCTGTGCCCTTGTTGGCTGCACCAATGAAGAAAGAATCTGAGGTGCCCCTTGGGAAATGTCTAGCAACGAACGGGTTCAATTGTTAATTTATGTGCGAAGACTTCTTAGTAGTTGCTGTGCCCTTGTTGGCTACACCAATGAAGAAAGAATCTGAGGTGTCTCCTGGGAAATGTCTAGCAACGAAAGGGTTCAATTGTTAATTAATGTGCGAAGACTTCTTAGTAGTTGCTGTGCCCTTGTTGGCTGCACCGATGAAGAAAGAATCTGAGGTGCCCCCTGGGAAATGTCTAGCAACGAACGGTTTATTTTAGTTGTGAAGTTTATTTAAGGCTGTTTGGTCAGAAAAACTAACAGACTTATCTGTTTTAGAATGGATAACACTTGCAGGACTTGTTTAAAACAGTTCACACAGCTGCGAAGTTTGCGTCGTCATGAACGGTGTATTCATGGTGAAAGAAGGTTTTGTTGTGATCATTGTGGCGAGTCTTTCACACGAAAAGATGCTTTGAGGCGGCATCAGAAGCGTCATCAAAAAATGATTACACACACTTGCAACAACTGCATGAAAGATTTCCACCGTCGAGATAAATTAGTAGAACATCAAGTTCATTGTCAAAGGAATCCACTGAAGAGAAAGCGTAATGAAGGCGATAATAGTCCGGCTCCAAAGAAAATGGGAGTTCAAATTGGAGAAGGTAAACCCGATGATCAAGTCGAAGAAGATAACCCTTGCAGTTCTACTTCGGCGTTTGACGATTCTTTGAAGAAGATTGAGTTGAAACCGCGGAAAGATCAGAAACAGGACGTGTCCCACTTCTTACGCGGCAAGACAAAATCCATTTTGAGTCACCTTTCCAACGAATTAGCAGAGAAAAGAGGCATCAAATGGTTCATCAGTGTTAAAGTACGATTCGTCAAACCTAAACCCAATGGCGAGAGTCTGACTACCGAATCCCACTTCCGCAGTCTCTGCATGAAAACAGTAGACCAGCACGAACTGCAATAATCAACTAGAGGAGGTCAAGCAGAAAATTACCCAGTCACTAGTTTTATTTCAAAGAGAAGGAAGTGGTTGGGTATTAGACGAAATCCTTCATCTTGACCTGAGTATAGCTCAGTATACTCCAGTAAAAGGATCCAGCTACATCCCTCTTCCCAGCAAGATAAACGCCAAGAAAGCAGTAATCAACATCAAGAATTCTGATAACAAATGCTTCATGTGGTCTGTCCTCGCCGCTCTTCATCCAGTAAAACAGAGTGCAGAGAGATTGCATCATTATCAACAGTTTCAAGATGAACTAGATTTTGCTGGTATTGAGTTTCCTGTTACTATTGACAAGATTGGAAAATTTGAGCATCAGAACAATATTTCCATTAACGTGTTTGGCTTCGAAGACGTGCTTTTTCCATTGTATATCACAAAAGAACACTTTAATACCCATGTGAATCTGTTGTTATACTCCCAGGGAGAGACTAGACATTACTGTTTTATAAAAGATCTGAATAAATTCCTCTACAGTCAAAACCGTCACGAATCTCGCATGTTCTTTTGCCGGTATTGTCTACATGGATTTATCCGAGAGGACCTACTCCAAGATCATGAACCACACTGTTGCCAACACGGTCCACAGCGTATTGAACTCCCTAATCAAGATAATGCTCAACTGTTCTTTAAAGACTACCACAAGCAATTGAAAGTGCCCTTTGCAATCTACGCCGACTTCGAAAGTCTTACCACCAAGATCAACTCAAATCCTAATCCTGAAAAATCCTCCACTGAAAAATACCAACACCACCAACCTTGTGGATTTTCCTACATTGTTATATCCGACCATGCGAAGTACTCCAAATCACCCGTCGTGTATCGCGGAGAAGATGCAGTCGACGAATTTTGAAGTGTTTAGAAGAGAGCAGAAATATATTCAAGAGAAGCTGGATTGGGTCGAGCCCATGCGAATTGAGAGAGAAGAAGAGCAAGCGTTTCAAGATGCAGTCCATTGTCATATTTGTGAATATGAATTGGGTTCTGACCGTGTTCGTGACCATTGTCATCTTTCTGGAAAGACCGCGGAGCTGCACACAACGATTGCAATTTGAAACTATAGTTTTAATGGTCAAGTACCCGTTATTCTTCACAATCTACGCGGTTATGACTCTCATCTCATCATGCAAGGACTTGGTAAACTCAAAGACAAGAAGATCAACTGCATTCCAAACAACACCGAAAAGTACATCTCCTTCTCCATCGATAATCTGGATTTTATCGACTCCCTACAATTTATGAATGCATCGCTGGAGAAGTTAGTATCCAATCTAGCAAAGGATGGTGTTGACAAGTTCCCCACTCTAAAGAAATACATCGACAGCGATAAAACACCCCTTTTGCTGAGAAAAGGCGTCTACCCCTACGACTACATGGATTGTACAGAAAGATTTGAAGAACCAACTTTACCACCGAAGGAATCCTTCTACAACGTGTTGAACGACGAACACATTTCAGACGAAGATTACACCGCGACGAATGTATTTAACAATTTTCCTGTCGGAACATGGGTGATTACCATGATTTGTACTTGACGTCGGACGTTCTTCTTTGCAGATGTGTTTGAAAATTTTCGAAGCGTGTGCCTCAAAGCCTACAACTTGGATCCCTGCCATTCTACACAAGTCCTGGTCTAGCCTGGCAGGCGTGTTTGAAAATGACTGAAGTCGAACTCGAGCTTCTAACTGATCCAGACATGTACTTATTCATCGAAGAAGGTCTTCGCGGGGAATTTCAATGATTAGCAACCGCTATGGTAAAGCCAACAATCCATACGTTCCCGATTATGACCCAGAACAAGAGACCTCCTACGTTATGTATCTTGATGCTAACAACCTCTATGGCTGGGCTATGTCGCAACCTCTACCCACAGGTGAATTTGACTGGCTAACCGACCAAGAGATTGCAGAACTTGACATCGACGTTGCGGACGATGACGATGAAGGCTACATATTGGAAGTAGACCTACACTACCGTCCGAACTACACGATCTTCACAACGATTATCCTCTAGCACCTGAGAAAATGAAGATTTCTTCAGAATGTTGTCACCATACTGCCAGACCTGTCGGAATGTTTGCAACTTCGTGGTGGGGTGTGTCTAAATTGGTGCCGAATCTCCGGAACAAGACCAATTATGTAGTCCATTACC